ACCCTGTACAGGGTTTCCGAGGCTGTAAATCTTTATGGGAGCAGAAAGCCTCATCTTTCTCCTGCGGAATAGCTGGTAGTTTCAAACTGCTGACCTTAAGGTTCGCAACCCAATCCATAACACTATGCTACCAGAGCTCCTTCCCATAAAGATTATAACTTAGAAAACCCTATGGGGAAGTTCCACTCTGACACATGGGGTCACTATGAATAAAAAAATGACTTGACAGCGCCTAGCAGCAATAACAACACATGGACAGTTAGTATTGAACTGGAGTGGTCAGAGAAGCTTTCTCTGAGGAAGGGACATTTGAGGTGAGATCTGAAAGTCTTATCCACAGGAAGTGGGTAGGGGAAAGAATTTCTGACAAAAAAGAACATGTGAATAGACTCAATTTTAGGATTAGGTATCCAATCCTCTCAAACTATTGCTGTTATTGTTGTGAAGTGCCATCGAGTCGGTTCCAACCCATAGCGACCCTGTATAGGGTTTCCAAGGAGCAACTGGTGAACTTGAACTGCCAATCTTGAAGTTCAAATGGCTTTGCAGTCTGGTGCATTAATTAACCCACAGCACCAAAAAGAAGAGCTAGTTACCAAGATCTAAAAGGCACAACACTCAACGTTTGTCTTTGTTATTAAAGACATCAAAGCTAATAAAGACTGGGCAAGGGGGTACCTTTTAATTTCCAAAAGGCAGTATTAAGGTTTAAAAGTCTAGGTGTAAAAACCATACTCTACTCAACATGGTTGGACCACATCTTAAAGTAAAATGAAAAGAAAATTGCCTAAATAACTGTCAAACTCTTCTCTCTGCAGGGTTATGAGCCAGATCCTAGTATAATCAAGTTGGCAAAGCAGTATGCCAAAGAGGTATGCACCTTTTATGTAAAACTATATTTGCCTTTCTCTGTTCCATGAAGTTGTTTAACCAGCACACTTATGTATGCTAGAATGGTACCAAGCTGTCACTGATGAATGATCCATTGGAGGCGGCACGTGGAGGCAATGTATTAATTACAGACACTTGGATAAGCATGGGACAAGAAGAGGAGAAGAAAAAGCGGCTTCAGGCTTTCCAAGGTTACCAAATTACAATGAAGGTACAAATTGAAGCCTCTCATTAATTCCATTCATAGAAGTCAAAACTATCTAATCACTCCTTCATTTTGGGGAGAGCCGATTGTCCTTTTATTCTCTATGAAGGACTCACTGCATACTCCAGGGATTTGTCTCCTTTCGCAGATTAACTGTGTCCTTTGGAAAGACACTTTGGTACTGGATGAAGCAATTTGAAATTTAGGCTGAAAAGAGAACTGACTTCTTCCTTTCACAACAATTAAAGGATTGAGATACTTTCCTTTAGTGTGTTTAGAAAGATTAAGTTACTTCTGATTTTCCTTAAGAAAAGCCCCATAACTTTTCCCCCTCAGGTGAGACCTTGCCTCCATTTTCTAAAGACCCCAAAGTCCAGTTTTGCTAACTCCCTCCAGGCCATTGCCAGTGGAATCCATCCAATCTGAGAATTGCATTAAGATTTTCTCCAGTGGTTGGCAACCTTGAACATGAATCACCTGGAGGGCTCAGATGATTGGGCCCCAACCCCAGGACTTCTGACTCAGCAGGCCAGTGGCAGAGCCCTAGACAGTGAATTTCTACCAAGTTCTCAGGTGATACAATGCTGCAGAGTCAGGCCCACACTGAGAGAAAGCACGGCTCTGGAAGAATACTCTAAAAGTCCGGTGTACACAGGGGCATAGGGAGGGTAATGAACACCCAGGGCAATCTCGAAATAGTGCCCTCCCCTAATTTCAAGATGAATAGGCATCAAAAGAAGTGACATGTCAGCAGAAATGCCTTCCTCTATCTTGTTCTTGTTCGGCTGCCTCAGTGAGGCATCTTTCATATTTGTGGAGCCTCTGAATGTCATGCAGTGTGTTAGCTAGTGCCCTCTTGGACTTGTGCCTGGAGGCAAGTGCTTCCCTTTGCACCCTACTCGCTATATCTATTAATGTCTAGCATGCTTGAGGAAGGATGTTAGACCATATCAGGTTAATAGAAACTGCTCAGTGGAGCCACCCTTCAAGTTGTGCCCAACACACGTGCCATATCTACCTTACATACCTTAGCTGTATCTCCAGGTGCATATTAGGGCTTTCTCACAGATAAATGAATCTGTTTTGATAGAGAAAGGGATTAAGCGATTGCAATAAACATTTAAGTGATAAAGTAATATACAAATGCTAGTTATATGAATACAAGTTCCTTGTTTTAAAAGTGCTGTATAGAACAGATGTATGAAAAACCATCCCCTTAAGAGTGACTCTTCCTAGAGGCAGCCGCCATTTAACATTTGGATGTGTCTTTCTGCAAATGCTTTCTGTGTATTTACATATATATGCCTACCTATAAATACACATAAAACTATTCATTTTTTATAAGTGCTATATTAGACAACTAACAACAAGGTTAGACATGTCATTGTGGCTTACATTTTCCACTTAACAAACTTTGATTTTTCTTGCCCATTTATTTGAATAGTTTGTACTCATTTTTAATGAGTGTGTAGTGTTCCGAAGTAGACTATAATTTACTTTAAAAATCCCTATTGGTAAATTAGGCTAATTTCATATTATTCAAATTGCAAGCAATGTTGCAATGAACACCCTTATGCATATTTCTTTATGCAAGTATTACTGGAGAATAGATCCCTAGAATAAATATTTCTGGTTGCAGTGACATACACTTTTAAAATTTTTATGGGTGAAATGGCATGCACTTTAAAAAACTTCAGGGTGAAGGTATATATTTTTGAACTATGGGAGATGTTGCTAAATTGCCTATCCATAAAAGATTTAAAAAATGTGTAATCCCATGCTATGTTTTAGAATTCTTTCCCCACACTCTTTCCATTTTTGGTTATTATTTACATTTAAAATTTTTTTGTAAATCTAAAGTAAAAATGGTATTTCATGCTTTAAACTTTGCATATTCCTGGTTGCTACTGAAGTTAAGTATCTCTTCAAAGTTTATTAGCCATTTTCATTTCCTTTTCTATAAATTGCTATTATATAATTTGCTTATTTTATATTGCCTTGTTTTTCATTTTTTTAAACTAGTGATAGGCACTCTATATATATCATGACTAATCCTTTGTCATATATGTGGATAAGCTGTCAAGGAGAACTTTTTTTAAATTTAATTTGTAGCAAACCCCAGTCCCATTCCACAGTTTCAAGACCTAGTGATCAGTGACGTTGGTTACAGTCTTCATATTGTGCCAACTTTCTCATTATTTGTCTTGTATTTTTTTCACTTCCATCCACTTATCTCTTTGCCCCAAACTTGTTCATTTATGTTTTAAAATAACTCTTTACCTTTGGGTTATATGCATGTGGTGTACACATGCATATATAAAGAAATACAATACTCAAGGGTGACAATCTTTCCTCTTTGGTTTAAACTGTTACTTAGTTTAAAGGTGACTTGCGGGAACAGCTTCCATTCAAGGTATAAAGAACAACTTGGGGATGTAGTTTCATGGTCTTCTCAAGCATCTGGATTCTTTAAGAATTTGAAGTTCTACTCCATATTATTTTCCGTTTTATAGGATTTACCTATTGTGTTTTTGATCAACACATTCAGTAGTGGTTGCTGGGAACCATCTAATTCTTCAGGAGTTTGTATATAATTCATGTAAACAATTAGTCCTGTAGCACATTTCCTTCTCTGATTCTTGAATTTCCCTCTTCCTTTTTGTTCCAGATGAATAAAGACCAATAGTTGTATCTCAAGAAGAAGTTTCAAATTGCCTTACTTTGACCAATTCTAGGTATTTTTATCTGGTCCTGGAACTATAGGCTTGAAGACCAGTCATCTCACAGATATATGACTGCTGCAAATGCTATTTCTTTCCCATGCCATTTTGCCCATATTTTAGAAACTCAGAATGTCTGAACTGAGAGTTGGGTTGGAGGTAAAGTAAAATTTTAGTCCAAAGACAGTAATTGTGAGGTAAGAGTGTATACGGAAATCTGTTTTTTAGACTGAAAGAGAATGGTGTTAATAGATGGGAAAATGTAATTTGCAGGAATTAACTGTGGGAGAAAATGAAAACTGCTAGTACATTTGCATTAAGAGTGAGACTTTAAGTGCACAGTTCTCAAAATTCTGTCTAAAGTATTCCTATCTCAGTGCTTTTATTCAAAATTGTATTGACAAATGACTAGGTACAAGGTTGCTATGAGTCAGAGTCGACTCAGCAGCACTTAACAACAAAGTATGCTTCAATTGCTAAAAACCATAATTTGGAGATAAGCTCAAAATATAATATATTCTTATAAAAGCAACTTTTTGATTTTGTGGTATAATTTGTGACTTTAGCTATAAGCCACATACGATGCTAGAAGAATTGATACTGAAATGCCCACTATAGAAGTTTGAGCTAATGGTTTAACTTGTAGTATTGTCCTTCCTCATTCCCTACCACTCCAAAAAATGAATATTAGCCTCCATAAATTGAAAGTATAAAGTAAATTTTCCCTGGCTGCCTTAAGCTAAAATGCGCATTCTATCCCCTTTGTCTCCTTTGATGTATTGATCTCTAACCCCAGGCTGTGTTGTTGTTGTTAAGTGCCGTGAGTCAGTTCTGACCCATAGCGACCCTGTACAGGGTTTCAGAGGGTGTAAATCTTTACGGGAGTAGAAAGCCTCATCTTTCTCCCGAGGAGCAGCTGGTAGTTTCGAATCGTTGACCTTAAGGTTCGCAGCCCAATTCGTAACCACTACGCTACCAGAGCTCCTTAACTATATGTACTTTTAAATACTGGAGAAGACTAATATGACAGGGTCTTGTCCCCATCTTTCTTTTAGACTGCTAAAGTTGCTGCCTCTGACTGGGTATTTTTACACTGCTTACCCAGAAAACCAGAAGAAGTGGATGATGAAGTGTTTTATTCTCCAAAATCACTCGTGTTCCCAGAGGCCGAAAACAGAAAGTGGACTATTATGGTAAGCAGGAGACAGGGAATGAGAGAAAAGTAGGAGTTTTCCGTGTGATCATAACTGGGTTGTTCATACCTTTTGACAGATAAGAAGCAACTGAGATCATCTAACAATATTTTTGTTCATAAGGGATCTACTTTTTTTTCTAGAAAGTTACTGGTGGTGGTGGTGTGCTGTGGAGTTAGTTCTGACTCATAGCGACCCTGTACAGGGTTTCCGGGGCTGTAAATCTTTATGGGAACAGAAAGCCTCATCTTTCTCCTGTGGAACAGCTGGTAGTTCGAACTGCTGACCATGAGATCAGCAGCCTGACCTGTAACCACTATACTACCAGAGCTCCTAAGAAAGTTGATAGTAGACTATTATTGTTTAATATTTATGATATACCTTTAATGAAGTAAAATTGATCCCATTCTAAATAAGTTATTTTTATCAAAATTCTTAGTACTCTACCTAGGTACTAGCCACCATTGTCTGCCCATCATTTTAACTTGCATTTTTCTGATGTTTGAATGTAGCTTTTCATGCTAATAAAAGCCCCTAATTCTGCTTCTGCCATAAAATAAACATCTGAAAGTCTTATTTCCTTCCTCCTTCATTTTTGTTCTTTTTTTTTTTTGACTTGCCCAGAAAATTGTTTTAGCTCTCTACCTAACTTTGGTTATATAGATCCATTTTTTAGGTATGTGGGCGCTTCAAAAAGTCCATAAAAAATGGAATTGAAAGATAATGGAATTTTCCTTTGAACTTTTTGAAGCCCCTTCATATAAGTTCCTAAACTCACAGAAAAACTAATCTTAAAAATTACTGGTTCTTTTAGGATTACATTACAAGGTCCCAGACAGAGTGTTTGTGTGTGTGTGTGTGTGGGGGGATGTAGAACAAAACTCAAAATTAAAAAAAGACTGGGCTTACTAGTCAGAAAGAGACTGGAGGAAATTGAGACTATGGAACTCAGCCACCCTCGTGGCTCAATTTTCAGCTAAATGTTGCTGTTGTAGTTAAATGCTATTGAGTATGTTCTGACACACAGTGACCCTATATACAGTTTCCAAGGAGTGTCTTGTGGGTTTGAACATCTAACCTTGCAGTAAGCTGTGCAGTGTTTATCCTACAGTGCCACACCAGTACTCTAGATAGGTATATGTTGTTGTTAAGTGCCATGGAATCTGTTCCGACCTGTACAGGGTTTACAAGGAGTGGGAGGTGAGCTTGAACTGCCTTGAGGTTCAAACCGACACTGCAGTCCAGCATATTAACCCACAGCGCCATGGGGCAAACACACTAGTAAGATACACTCGCCATGGATAGTCAACCATACAAGATCAAAAAGTCAACATTTACTTAAGGACAAAGTTCAGAAGGGTTGAAAAGGAGAATGGCGTGGAAATAAGAATCACCGTGAGGAAGTGGAATAAGTGATGTTACATGGAGGGGATTGCAATCATTGAGATGAAACGAAGTCTATAATTTGATGAATGTAAAACTGATGATCTGTTCTGTAAACCTTCCCTCAATTCACAATAAAAAGGTTAAATATATATATATGGTCATTTTAAGATGGTGGTTCAAGAAGACCTTCTGGTCCAGTACTTATTCCACAGTGCTACACCAGGACTCTGATTTAAGATTAAGCCACTAGTTTTATCTTCATCACTATCACTGTAGGAAAAAAAAAAATAACATGAAGTATCTACTTTACCTTTTGTTGCAATATTTGGCTTTATCTTCTCGAGCTGATCTTTGAAATTTTCTGTTCAACTCTTGGACCTCCTCATTTCTTCCATTTGCTTTAGCATCTCTACAC